TTCTGATTATCGCCATTTCCCATATTGCATGCTTATACAATAGAAATGCCAGATTAGTTGATAAAATTTTTTTTTTATGTTAATTACACAACATAAAACAATTCCCTTCCATCATTTACTTCAGCTCACTCTTATCTTATATTACGTAATACGAATTTAGGAATGAGATTAACAAATGGCATTTTAGTAGTTATTTTCAGAAAAAAGGGTAACTGATGGAATGCCAAATCACATGCATCATCAGCAATTCAACACAAAGCATTTTTTAGCCTTCTCTGCTGTCATATAAATGACTTTCTCACTTAGCGTCCTCGAGTCTTGGCCTGTTTCTCCAAAAACATTTCCCAGATACGAGTAAAGACTCAGTGACTCGGAGAAGGAGTGAAGGATGTGGCGCTGCGTCTCTCGAACCCTTCGAGCTCCGTCTTCCAAGAGATCTATCTCCAATGACTCTCTCAGATCTCAGATATCCAGATTCTTCTCCACTGATTCTGTACGCTTTCTTCGTTTTCTCCTCAATCTGTAGATTCTGATCTTTTCTTTTTTTTTTTTTTGCCTTTTCTTATGGATTTTGATGTCATCATGATGATTCCTGCTTTAATTTATGAAAGTATGAGCTTTTTATCTTTTGTTACTGTGTTTGAATGATGATCTGTATATATTCTGACTAATTTTGCCGAATTTTTTTTTTAAATTTAATAAATTTCTTATAGATTTTACTGTTAGGCTGCTGAGAAAATATACAGCACCGGGAAGAATAATCCGAAATTTTCTGTTTTAGATTCTTTTAAAGTTGGAGCTCTTTACAGCTGACTGTTCTGATGTGATGTGCGAAGCAAAATTAACGATGAACAGAGATGTTGAACTTAATTGTGATGTCCAAACTAAATCATGTAATTTCGAGTTTAGGAAGTATTTGTTTGTTTTTCTGCACATGCATTTTCCGTTCAATCATTCATTAATTTCTCTTCTGTATTTATTTGTTCTGTTGCGTTTGTCGTTTGTGATCGGTTACTGTTTTATCAAAAACTAGTAAAAGAGAAGGAAAGGTGCATCTGGTGGTTAAACTTGAGCTATATGGTTACAGGGGCGGTCATCATACACTATAGTGGATCATACATACGATGCAGTTGTGGTAGGTGCAGGAGGTGCAGGGCTGAGGGCGGCAATAGGTCTCTCAGAGCATGGATTCAACACTGCTTGCATTACTAAGCTTTTCCCGACACGTTCACACACTGTTGCTGCTCAGGTACCAAAAGGTTTAGTTTTTGTGGGTATTGTTTCTGCTAATAATCAAGACATGGACATTTAATGCAAAAAGGTGGACTTTTTTGAGGATTGAAATTTTGATTCCTGTAATATCTTGCTACTATTTTTGTTGAATTTTTAAGATTTCGTCTGAAAACCTGAGTTTCAATTCTTTCTCAACCAATGTGGGATGTTGCCTGCAAATGTTATTTGAGATTGAGGAGCTTCTAATGGACTGAAATTGGCACCTTGTGAATCTTAAGTTGTAATCAATTTGTATTCTTGTGTATTTTTGAGAATATTACATGGTAACTCAATTTATGATTCTCACCTGTTCTGTACATTATAACGCACTTGTCTCAAGTGTCATTGATTAAAGTTGTTTTAATTTCAAAATCTAAAGATAGGTTCCTTTGAATGTTACTTATTCTGCTGAATTATTTGAAGCTCCTTTTGATTGCTTAAAGTTCTTGAAGCCCTTTGTGATCTGTATTTGTTCCTCATTGTTTTGCCTTTTATTTTAATCTTGAAAAAATGTTTTATCTATATTTCTTTACATTTTTTTACCACCATTCAATGATTTTTTTTGTTCAGTTCCCTGATAACTTGCTGACCATGAGGGAGAAATTACTTGCAGGGTGGTATAAATGCTGCATTGGGTAATATGACTGAAGATGATTGGCGGTGGCACATGTATGATACAGTTAAAGGAAGTGATTGGCTAGGTATTTCTTTATTCTTTTTATGAATTTCAATTTTTTTTATCAGATTTGTTATATCAAGTGATACAATTTAATCAAGCAATGTGGGTTCTACTAAAGGGTTAAGACCTTATTCTGGACATCTATTATACCTCTATGCTTTAATCTTCAAACTATCTGCTTAAAACTTTTTCTTTTTTCGGTTATGTGACACACTAGGGTGTATTTTTATAGGTGATCAGGATGCCATTCAGTATATGTGCAGGGAAGCACCAAAAGCAGTGATTGAGCTTGAGAATTATGGGTTACCATTTTCTCGAACAGAAGATGGAAAAATATATCAGCGTGCATTTGGTGGTCAAAGCCTTGACTTCGGGAAAGGTAAGACCATAAGAGTATGCAAGTTTGATTATGAAGTCACATGATTACTGGACAGCTTTCTGA